TGTAGTGTTAAAATAGCAGTCCTCTAAGATAAAATGGGAAGAAAAAAAAAGAGAAAATGTATACCGTCTCTCATGCTTTCACCCTTTCCCTGCTCGCGTAATTCCCTCTTTTCGTGTTGGATTCGACGATGGTGATGCCTTGGTTTAGTCGTTGCGAAGCGGTTATCGGCGAAAAAATGGTTGTTGTGGGGTGTGTATGATCTGCTATTTCTCTCCAGTAAAGTTTGTGCTTGTTTTTTGAAGAGAAAAAAATGGAGAGAGATGAATGATGAGGACAGATTTTTGAAGTAAGTGGATTTTTTCAAGAATGTATGAAAGTGGTTGCTGTATTTTTTGATTGAATTTTTGTATGATGATTATTGATAGGGATGAAAATGGTTATTGAAATAAGGTGAATAATGTTGTTAATGGTGAGAGAGTTAATGGTAAATGGTGGTCTTTTAATGAAACCAGCTTTTTCACTTGCTGAAACTTTCTCCTCTTTATCTTTTTATTTGCAATGTGAACCAAAGATATGAGTGAAGAAATTTGTTTTTAGTGGTTTCTCACTTTTCTCATTTTTTTCTCCACGAGAGAGATATATGATTGGGTAATATGGATGAATCCTTTGTTTTTTGTGTGTGTTGTTTTGTGGAAAAAAGATAAGAGAGCACTATGAGAAAGAAAAAGTTCAGGTATATAAATGTGTGTGCTGTGGAGAAAAGAGAGCTTAATAGGTGTTGGTTTTTTTATTGTATTTCCAAACTCAAAGAATAAATTGAAGAAAAAAAGGGGTCCGCTGTGAAGTCATGAAGAAAATGAAAGAACTGATTTTTAATTAATGACATGGTGTAGTTAAAAAGAATGAGTTATGCCAGCATATAAAAGAAAATATTAAAAAATAAATAAAAAGTAGCCCCTGCGTGTTTCACATGAAGTGTGTATGTTTTTCATCTTTTAAATGTGCAGTGTTTATATATATATATATATATATATATATATATATATATATATATATATATATATATATATATATATATATATATATATATATATATATATATATATATATATATATATATATATATATATATATATATATATATATATATTTGAAATTTTCAAATCAGAGAGAGACTAATGAAGTTAGGGGGTGTGGTATTCAAAATAAAAAGAAAGAAATATGACATGGAAAGTAGATGGTGCATGCATGCAAAGCTACATTGTACCAATATGCAAGAAAAAAAAAGGCTTACAAATCTTAACCAACAAGCACTTCTAAACATAGCTGGAAATCAAAAAATTAAATATTTTAAAAAGAAAATAATAAATAAAATATTTAATAATAAAAATTTGAAAGAAAAAAAAAGAGATTAGATAAATAAAAAATATTATTACTGAAAAATAGAAATAAAATCGGTAAAAAAAAATAATTGGACCGGTATCGAAATGCTTGAAAAAATAAAATGAATACACCAAAATAATAAAGGAAAATTGCGATCTAAACGCAGCGGAAAACAAAAATTTTCCTTTAGTGATCCTCACGAATGAGCATGGTCAGTGATAGAATCGTTACCTCTTTGTGGCGATTCAGATCTTTGATGCAGCGATCACAAGCGTTGATGAAGTGCAACGCCTCTACTCAGTCCACACGAACAGCTTCCGGTCACAGTGCTAGCTGCTTACGAACGGAATTATTTGAGTGAGAAAAGAGAATCAAAAACGAAATTGCATCAAGTGAAAGCTTCATCACAAGGGTTCCTTTTATAGACTCTCTTGTGGGCTGCGGGCTAAAACCCTAATTCACATGATCCATAATAATATTATATATTATTATAATAACTATTATTATAATAAATATATTTATTTTATTATTATTTTATAACCATTATAAAATAACAATAATTATTATTATATTATCCGAATTTCTATTTTTCACTTAAGTGCACCGTACCTTACGGTGTTCCTTTGATTTCTCTATCTCTCATCAAACTGTCCTTATGTGTGTGACCCTGTAGGATTTCGTAACGTTGGTAATTATATTAAATTATATATATTTAACATAATAAACAGTAAGCGGTATCTAGCAACACATCACTGCTACCCAAGTCACGAAAATGTCATGTGATCTGACAAAACCTTTTTCGTGATAATATATGTTTGTACAATTACCCTTTTGCCCCTATGTCTATATTGAACACAAGGCATACACTGTGTCATCCTTGTCCAGTTCAATATTGGGCCCTTAGACATTTCTCCTGTTATGCAGGATTGGCAAATTCCATCTAGGACACTCATGTCCCTCAGCATGCTTCGTGGAGTGCCCATCAACTGTCTTTATGATCATCCAGTTACGGATAATGTTTGATCAGCAATAAAGCACCCGACTCTACATCTAGGGTCCATAGTGGTTTCAGGTCGAAGGGTGGTAATACACCATTATCACCATGAGAATAACTTATGACACTTTGCATAACATACTATGTAGTATTCTCATAGCGGGTCAATCCGGTATAAATATTACTCCTAATATTTATACCCATGTCAAGACTTGATAACTCTTTATCCATGATCCATGAGATGTGATCATCAGTCTATCTTCATAATAGTCTCAATGCTTTTAATGTTATCCCACTTTGCAATAAAGCTTGACTACGGATATTTTAAGAATAATGTCTTTATGTTTAATGGGATCTCATGATTAAGTCACACTTAACATTTCATTAAACAGACTAACTATTCTAGGGACTTTATTATTCTGAAAGACAAACATAATAAAGAAATGCCTTTTATTATTAAACGAATAATCTGATACAAGTACCAAAAAGTATTGGCCTCTAGGGCTTACACCAACAAATAATTAGTGCAAAATATATGATTCGGAAAAATACAGCGTTTGGTCAAATTTTGAAATACGTTTTATCCGGTTAAATGGCTTAAAATGTCCAAAAATGCGACCGAAAAGTGGTCGAAAAAGTTAAATGAGCACGCCAGGTTAAACTACGCGAAACGCAGATTAATATCACTGACGTTTGCAGGCTCGATTTTAAAATTTTCCGTCCACTGATTTTTCGCACAGTTGACTTTTGATTTGACCGATTCAACTGTAATTCTGACAAATTTATTTCAGCTGATAAATTAGTATTATGCAAGATAATTGACTTAGAATGATATGTAAAAGATCAAAGAATCTAAGGATAAATTTTGGGGTATGACAACTTTCCCAAAAAGGAATGCAGATTGATTATCATCCACAATAGAATTGATGACTTTGCTCAGCCTATTAGCGAGGATCTTGGATATTATTTTATACACATTCGAGCAGCAAGTTATGGGTCTCATATCCTTCATTCTCTTAGCTTCAACAGTTTTTAGAATCAGGGTAACTATAGCACAATTTGTGGCAGGGTACATATAATCATCTTCAAAGAATTCCTTGATAGCTGCAGTAAGGTCTCTTTTGATGATATCCCAAGTTTCTTTAAAGAATTTAACAGGAAATCCATCCATACCAGGGGCTTTCGTGTCACCAATGGATTTCAGGGCTTGTAAAATCTCTTGATCAGTAACACGATGAATAAGTTGGTTTCTATAACTATCCTCCAATTGGGCACCACTTCTCAAGGTCTCATATTCAACATGTCTGAGAGCTTGAGTGTTAGTCCCAATCAACTCCTTATAAAAATTAATAATCTCCTGCTCAATATCATTAACATCACCAAGCTTATCCCCTTGATTATTCTCCAATCTATGCATTCTATTGTATGTGTTCTTCTTTTTCACAATAGCATGGAAATAGGCATTATTACCATCTTCAAGCCTTAACCAGTTGACTTTGGACTTTTGCATCAGAATTTTTCCCTTCATCTCAATGCTCTTGAGCAGCTCCTCTGTCCAATTCTTAACTTCTTGAATAAGATCAGGATTAAGCAAGTCATTGTTCAGCTTATATTGAGCCTGATTCAACTTGTCTCTGTACTCTTGAATTTTAAGGGCTCCACTACTAACTGTTCTACCCATTCCTATAAATATAGGTTGAAGTTTTGTTAGCTTGTTCCACAGTTTTTGCATAAGTCTACCCTCAATATCAGTGTTCTAGCTCCTATTCACCACTTCCAGAAAATCAGGTTCATCAATTAGAGCATTGATGAATTTAAATCAAGGTTGCTTTTTATCCTTTTGAGGGATATTACCATCCCTCACCATCTTGAGAGGGGAGTGATCAGATATGTGGAGAGGTACAACTTCAAGGTTACTGTTAGGGAATTTCAGATGCCACTCCTTATTACAACTAGCCCTGTCAATTCTAGAATAAATGGTCCCATTGGTGTGCTTGTTAGACCAAGTATAGTGTCCCACATATGTCTTGTGTTCAAACAGCCCAATACAGTGCATCATCCTTTCTAGATCTTAGTACTCCACTTCATGAACAGGGCATCCTCCTATTATGTCTTCAACAGTCAAAACATTATTATAATCTCCAACAACTACCTAGAGATCTTTTATAGAGGTTGCTAGTTTTTATATGTGCTCCCACAATCCCCTTCTTTTGTTGGGTTGGTTGTGAGCATAGAAAATAGTCATCCAATGTTGTCTAATTCCATCTTTATTCAACACTTCACAATGAATCAATTGGTAAAAAATTTCATTGGCTTTGATCTCAATCTCCTCATGCTGCCACATAATCCATATTCTACCATTATTATGGTTTTCATAGTTATTACACCATTTCCACTTATCACCAAAACTTCTTCTGATATTCTTAGCATTATTTTCTTTAACTCTAGTTTCAAGTAAAGCAATGCATGACACATTCATTTTTTTGAGATAGGATACAACCTGAATGTGTTTAGCTTTTTTATTTAAGCCCATCACATTCCATATAACTATTATGGGACTTTATCTTCTAAGTTTGACTCATCCCCATTTCCCAACACATCAAAACCATTAGTGCAGCCAATACTAGGATCAACACTTCTTATGTATTCATTAACAATACCTTTTCCCTTATATTTGGATGCTTACACTATTGTACAAGTGGTTTTGTCTTGCACTACTTCTTCTCCTTGTGTTTCCTCTTTATTCCCCCCAGTTCTTTCTATCTGCATAGGCTGCATTTCCTCAGGTTTTTGCTTCCTTGTCCACACTTGTTTGGTTGCAGCTTTTTGTCTAGGTTTGGTTTCACAGTCATGAAAAACCTTGTTGCAAGTTTTGCAAAAAGGTGGTTTCCATTCATATTCCATCTTCTGGACCATTTTGTTTCCTTTAAGATCCCTGATAGTGATCTCCTCTTTTAATTCAGCAGATACAACCACTTCTACTAGCACTCTAGCATATGAAACCCTTAGCTTCTTAGCAGTACATTCATTTGTCATCAAGGGGTTTCTGATGGCACTAGCAATTTCCCCTATAATTTTTTCTCCCCAATACATCAAAGGTAATTGTGGTAGCACTATCCATAAAGTCATAGTTCTCATAATATCAACTTTTAGTGTGAATTCAGGGTTCCATTCATGTAGGAACATAGGTTTTTGATAGATGGTATGTGGCCCCTTTCTCAATACATCATCTCGTCAGCTTTAGAGTGGAATATGATAATGAAATACCCTTCTTCGTTATAGTATAGTTCTGGGGTTGTAATAAAGTTCCATATAGTGTTCATAAATTTCTTGACCCTATTTATTGACATATCATCCCCTAGTACATACATGATCAAGTTATTCACCCAGTGCCTCAGCTATGAAGTTATATCTTGTTCATCTATGACTATTTCTACTTCACCATCAATTATCATAGGTGATGAGTATCCTATTTCTATACCATTGGAAGGAAGACGACTACCTCAAATGACTTCTACCTGTCACGGTAAGAATCGAAGACCATAGCTATTGAGTTAGATAGGCTTCACAAATCTTAAGATATCACCACCGATCTTTACTTTATCAAAAGGAAGGGTTAAAGAAAGAATAACTCATAAATATGTAATGCAAAACAATGCAATAAAAAGAACCTAAGGTTCGGGTTGGTTATACTAAGGGAAGGTATTAGCACCTTAAGTATCTATAGTATCCTATAAAAACCTCTTGTTGAATTGTATTATAAGTTTATTGCTATTTGGGATTGATTGGGGAGATGAAAAGAGAAATGTTTTTTTATTGTTTTGTGTTTGGCAAGACACAAAGTCTTGTGCCTACGTACCAATGAAGGATCAAAACCTAGTAGTTCAGGGTACAAATTAAAAAGTGTTTGTTATAGTGGATTTTATTGAAGAAGAGACAAGTTGTCATCTTAAGGAGAATACTCATCTAAGCCACCACCAACATGTGGAAGAGGGATCTTTCCTTCATATTAAGAGAATGGCTCCAACTTGGATATATAATCAACAAGTATGCCACATACCTCTCTCAAGTGGAAAAGAATCAATCATTTTTCTCATAATGTCATGGGTTTGGAGTTTTATATATCAACTAAGGATGACTAGTGTCTAGTCTATTTTGAAAAGGTTTTAAATTGAAAAGCCAAAATGGCAAAAGATTTGAATTGAAGTTTGTGTATTTTAGTCTTTGGTGAAAGAAGTTTGAATATGCTTAAGATGTCTTAAAGAATTTGTTAAGAAAAGAGAGTTGGAAAGATCAATGACCTAAGGTCAAGGTTTTTAATGAAAGAGATTTTGAGTTTTAGAGGGGGGAAACCCTAATTTAATTGTTTAAGTTAAAGGTAATCCTAAGGGAGACTTCCTAAGGGATAACAAGTTCTAGGATTACACAGTTAAGGGATGTGTATACAAGAAGATGTAAAGATGAAAATTTAAATGACAAAGATGTCAACAACAAGCCCCTCCCTTGGAAATGAATATCAATGATTTATCACATAAACATGTATAAATTGATAAACATCATGAACAAAATATTAACATGATTCTAGGCATTGAGATATGGTGAACATAAACAAGATATGACAAAGACTTACATAACATCACAAGAAACAACTCATGAACAAACATAAGGCAAGAGACATCCTTAACATCGTGGGAGTTTTTGTGAAGGAAATACTTGAAAACAAATGATAAAAAAAATAGAATCAAATGAAACATCACAAACAAGTATGAACAAGTAAGCATCCAAAATGAATCATGGATCATATGAACATGGTGAAGATGAAGCAAAATCCTAAAGTGGATCATTACACACACAAGTTATGAATGAGAAGCAAGAACATGTCGAAAACAAGTCAAACCCTAAACCCTAACAAAGTATGAGCAAGCTTCACATTTAGCAGTTTATGAAAGAAATACGTGTGAACATGTCAACAATTTCATACATTTAATCAAATTATTTTTCAAATAAAGTAACACCTAAACATGGTATAAGTTATGTCATTGTCACGCAAACACTTATGATCAATTAAGTCATAAACAATTAAAGAACAATTATTAAAAGACCTAAAAGACACATAAAAGGAACTAGTTTTCAACTTAATAAAAATGGGAAAAATAAATATTATTTTTGGTTTTTTTTCATGCATTCATGAAATACATAGGACAAATGACAAGTGTGCAAAAATCAACTCAAAAGGATAAAAGAAACATATGGAAATGATTAAAAGAAAATGAGAAAAAAGTGAAACAAACAAGTGATAAAAAGATGGTTTTGTTGGCCAAAGGGGTTGAACCCACACACCCTTACCTACAACCCAAAATTCTAACCACTGGACCACTGCATGAGTGGTGTCTACATAGTGTGCATACACAATAATATATGATTTTTATCTTTAAAAAAGGGGGGGAAAAATAAAATAACAAAAGGTCTGGGGCGAGGGGGATTCGAACCTTAAACCTTATGCGCACTAACACACACAAACCAAACTTTTAACCAACACGGTGCAATGTCAATTCAGGATATGTGGTGGAAAATAAAAAAATATATATTAAACATGATTTTAAAATAAATAAAAATGCGTCATGGCTTTCATCTTCTTCCTCCACCATTTTCACACTTCAAGAAACCCTAACTCTCTCATTTCTCAATGAAATCCAAAAGTGTAAAAGAGCAACTTGCTTAGAATTTGACCAGGATTTTAATGGTATCATTTAATTTCACTAATTTTAAACATATTGTAAGCAATCAATCAGAACTCAGTATGAACCCTAAAATGAAAACTTAAAATGAAATCATGAACATTACAGATTCTGTCCAATTGGCAAGAGGTTTTTGATCTCGACATTATAAAAAATGATTTGGTAACTCAAATGAATGGAAATGATGCAAGGATAACATAGTCTCAGAAGTATATGGACTTACCTATTGGAGCAGGTCCAATGCCTCTTCAATCCAGCTGCTAGAAGGTGGATGATGATGCAAATAACTTCTATAGACCTCTAGGATTCTTGGTTTGTGTTGAGACAAATCCCACCTTCTTACATGATTCCTCTTGCAAATGTGAAAATTGAGAATGTGAACTTGATGAAAATAGTGTTACAGATGCAATGTGAAGGTTTTGACAGTTTGTGTGATCTTTATGGATGGTGTTTGAAGGATTAGATTGAGTGGAGAAGGTCAGAATAAAGAGTTCTTGAGTTTTGGCTCAAAAGTCAATAAAATGAGCAAATGCAAGTTGACTTTTTGATTTTGAGATTTTTTGATGTTATGGATGGTTTAGACCGTTGATAAGGGTGATTTATGGTGTGTGAGGATGACTTGTTTGAGTTTTTTGTGACTGTGTTGAAGATTGGAGGGTTTTGTGCAAATGGTGCCAAGTGATGAACAAGGGAGATTCAAGGCCTGGTGTCGCTACGTGAAAAATGACATAGAGTCGCCACCGAATATTATTTATCCCAAAGAGGGAAAGGAAAATAACGATAAAACCTTAAGGGAATGAACATGTTCATCGCAACCAAGTTTTGGGTTCGGAAGTCGGTTATGCGAGGGGAAGGTATTAGCACCCCCTCACATCCATCGTACTCGATGGGAACCTTCTAAGTTGTCTAGCTCGAATGGGTGTTGCATTCTAAAAGTCTACTTGCTTAAGGGAAAAGGGGTTGACTTTTTATTAGAGTGCTCGCCAAGGATTGTGGCCCTTGTGCCTATGTATACTCACTTAAAAGAAGTGAAGAACCAGAGCTCTATAGTTCGGAGACTTGAGAAATGATTGTGTGTTGATTGATTTTATACCTTGAAAAAGGGTTTTCGGATGATGCCCTAAGGCGAAAAAGAAGTTTGGTGAGTTGATGTTATTTTATGGTTTTGAAAGAAAGTTGTTCTTAATTAGGATCACACTAAAGACTATGGGTGGAGGTGAGTATTTCGAATAACCAAATCGAGCACCTTGTGTTCAAAATACTCGGAGTGAGTATAGGAGGGGCTTCATTCTCAATCCTTCTCCATTACTAAAAGCTCGTGGCGTGCAATCCTAATCGTATTTTATTGTATTTTTGAATTTATTGAGAAAAATTACCACTTGACGTTGGATCAAGGGTTTTATTACTTATTAAGAAAATGTTTGAAGTGATACGAACACGGTTGATGGCGATGCACAAGGCAATCGACTTACAAGGTGAAAAAAATGGCTCGATAAGAATCGATAATTTATTTTGAAAATAGTTTGCAAAACAAAAGTCAAAATGACATTATTAATATAAGCACACAATAAACGTGAGACAAAGTCAAGTTAGTCGGTTTGAGGACACAAGTTAAATTTCGCAAATTTGTACATTCAAATTATTAATTAAACTAAATATGGATATTTAATAAAACTAATTAATATTTTAATTTATTTTAATATTAAATAAATATGTTTAATATAAATAATAAACTCTTTTCTCCTTTTTTTTGTTGATATTTCAATTATTAATAATTAAGAGTTCTAATAAAAAAACATCCTAAAGTTAAAATTTAAAATATTTCTAATCCTAAGAAAACTAAATAAAATATAAATCTTAAATTAATTCTAAATCCTAAGAAAATTAAATAAAATAAAAATCCTAAATTAATTCTAAATCCTAAAAAAACTAAAAAAACTAAAAATCCTAAATTAATTCTAAATCCTAAGATAATAACTAAAATCCTAAAAATATTCCTAAAATATTAAATCTAAATCTAAAAATAATAACTAAACATTAAATCTAAAGATTTAATCTAAAATATTACCTAAAATCTTAAAACAATTCTAATTCTAAATTATTAAAAGCTATTAAATATAAAATATTAACTTGAAACTAAACTAATTCTAAATCTAAAAAATTAAACTAATTCTAAATTTAAATTAATTCTAAAAATAAATTTAAAGATTAAACTCATATTATCAGTTTTTTTTGTTTATTTTTCCATTAAAAAAATACTAATAAAAAAATCTCAAATTATAAATAAATAAATAAAAGACTTTAGATTTCTAGAATAAATATATATTCTAATCCTAAAATCATAACTAAAATCCTAAAAATATTCTAAATCTAAAATATTTCTAAATATTA